TTTATTTATTTATTTATTTATTTATTTATTTATTTATTTATTTATTTATTAAACTTGTATGCCGCCCATCTCCCCCAACGGGTGACTCTGGGTGGCTCACAATAACAAAAAAGAAAAAACATACCAATCCCTCCAACAGTGGCTAAAATCCATAAATAATTAAAATACAAGCATACATTAAAAATGTCCTTAAAAAACCCTGTATATTTTAGCATATGTTGCCTTTGTCTTGTACTCAGTACACAATGGAGGCCCCTTAAAGTCATATTTAGCTGGCCCAGCTTTAAAGTAACATTTTTCCTCTTCTCTTGACAAAACGTTTACCATGGACATGATCTAACTGTCTCTCCCAAAATGTACAGTTGCATTAAGACCCTTGTAGGCTCCAGGCACGTTTATCTTCATAGGTCCTCATTGCAGTAATAATCTAGATGTTTAGGATTATAAAGATGTTCCCTGGACCTGTATTCTTCAATAAGTCTCAGAGAATGAGGCACAGTACACATATGCATAATAAAATAGTAATCATATCTTAATTGTATTTAATTTTAGAATATACAAATGTTGACATTTTCATAGGCCCCGAGAGTTTTGTAAGTCCTAGGCATTGTGCCCCATTCTGCCTAGTGGATAATATAGGCATGCTAAGAAGTCTTTGGGTTGGGCCAATTCCAGTTAGAGTTTGGGATCCTGGAGATAACTGATGCCATTTAATAAGTATACAGTCCATACTTAACTGTGAAGTTCAAAAACACTTAAAACATCCTTTCATGCAAATAATTGTGCACTAAACAGATCTCTGTATGTGTTCCATGTCCCAACAGCATTTTATTGAGTAACAGTAGATGTCACAGCAAAAACTTCCCTAAAGTGGCAGTTCGACCAGTACTAGAGCATGAATCCTTCTGAACATAGTAGGACTTTAACTGAGATTTCAGGCTTTGCCATTCAAATGTAAATTGTGTGCCATCTTGGATCATCATATCCTGTTCCAAGAACACATACATTATCCACACTAGCAGTTTATAGTATCATCCAGTCATTGTTGGGGTGATGATATAAAGAATGCCCATGCTAAAAATTAATTATTAAAGCAATAGATAGATGATGCTATCCGATGTTAGTGAGGATGTTGCAATGCATGTTAAATGAGGTTTATAGTTGAATTTGAAGCAATCATGCAAATTCAGTCTTTCAGTAGAGTTGTCAATGTGTATTCTATTATGGAATATCACATGGGAGCTGACAATTGACACTTGACTGCTTGCAATGTTTAGATGATGTATTTTAGTGGGAGCTATGATGGTTCAAGAATGGGATAGGTGCCTTATCTTTCTCTCCCATCCTCACTCCTTGCTGATTAGTCAATAGAAGTGGATGAACTAGATCTCTGCATCTTGTGGGCAGCAAAAACTGTACTAGAATGTACAAGCATCTGTGTTAACTTTGGGAAGAAATTCTGTGTCATTAAGGTTTCCTCTAGAAATCTGAGAGAGAACTCTATTGGAACACTGCTGCTGTGAATTCCCATCTTATGTTCAACCTATAGGGACATGCACATAATAAGTTATATCAGATAAATATTATTTATAAGCCTCTAATCACCTTGTAAGGAAAGCACCACAACCCCTCATAATGAACACAAAATAAATGTGGATGATAGTGTTACTGTCTGGCTGATCAACACAGAAGTCTATAGCTAGATCTTACTCATTATATTATACCATAACATTATTTGGTTTTTAGCTTAGCATTTGTAATTAAGCCCAGCCACTCAGCTATGTATGTCTTACTGCAATATAGGAATCCAATCAATTCTTATTCAACAAGCTTCCATTAAGCAATTCATGACTTAGTAAAATGTGATAACCCAGCTTGTTCTCTGCAAACTGGCTCCAGTGAATGTAATATGCATGAAACAGACTGATGGAGGAATTATATAATCCTCTATCATCTTTTGAAATTTTCACTGATTTTCAAATTATTTTATACCTGAATAAGGAAAACTAAATATACTCTTCAAAATTAATCATTTAAATTAAATGTTTATTGTACACTGTTTTGAATACAGTACTTGCTTAGCCTCACATTTGGAGAGTTGTAATCTAGCATGCATTAACCACATATACTATAAAATAAATTCAGAGACTTGTTTTAATATCACTCATTGCAAAAGCAATCCAAGTCACTCATCCAGAGATCATGAGACCATGTGAAACTATCTTTCTGGGTTTTTATTATGGATGTTATTCAGAACAGGAGAGATGGATAGATTTGAATACATCCTATGGAAATTAGCAGAAATTGTACCAGGGTGGGAGTGTGAGGGGCATAAAGGAAGAAAGAGAATTGCTATTTGGATTTTATTTCCCAGGTACTGAAATATCTTGGAACATCCCTACAGAATATGCAAGGTCTGTGTCTTCATCAGAGCCAAGCTAAGCAGCAAAAAGAGGTAAAGTCTGGGTAGGTAAATCAGGAAACAGTACTTTTCATTCTGCTTGCCTATCAGGTAAAAATGCTACAGCAGGAGGCTATTCTACAGTAAATACAGTGGAATACAATCATTAATTTCCCCAGTTACACAAATTTAACGTAGGAATTAATAATAATGTTCCAGGTCCTTGAATGTTCTGCAGTTAATGTTTGGTGCAACAAATATGTCAGCTTGACATGCTGAATGCACATTAATGCACATTAATGAGGCCAAGAACAAATGCATAATAAGAGCTAATTAATGTGATATTATGTGGCATGAAAACAAATAGTTGACAGTAAAATCAAGTTCTGGAGTAACGTGACATCCTCACTTGAAGACAATTTTACAGGATTCTTGGAGGCCCCACTGGTTTGATTTTACATGTTGTGCCTTGTTTCTATTCCAGTTATATAAGTCCAATCTTGTATTACCATTCAGAACAGCCCTTTTCAAATCTTGATCCACTGCATAAACAATGATATGCAAGAATATCAGAAAAGAAGAGGGAACATTAAGCATAATGAGACAGTCCAACTATTAGAGATCTTCTACTTCATTTGGAGCAAAGGCTGAAATAGGATTTAAATGTCAGGATTACATTTTAACTGATAGGAATATAAAGCAAGTATTTCAGCTGAATTATGAATTAAATTCTTTTACATCTCAAGAAACCATCGACAGAGATTTCCTTTTGTTTTATTAAACAAGCTTGCTGTTTGCAAAAAACAAATTATATACAGTATTGCATTCTTTTCCACTGCTCATCAATGGCAGAGAATTAATACAAATTGTGAACAACCAATCGTACACAAGTTTGAAACTTAACTTTGGCCAACTATGAAATTCAGACGAAATTCATGAGCCAGTTGGTGCTTATCCTCTTTCCCATCAGCTGACCAATAGGAGAAGGCAATGATAATTGAGCAGCCTTCCTCCTATGGAATAACTGTGGAATAACAAAAATCCCCCTCACTTCATACAAAAAGGAAATAAAAGTTCTCTCCCCCAGATCTGTTTTTCAGTACATGAATTTGTGTGTATTTATCTGGTGGGTTGCAGAAAGGAAGGGAAGGGAACTTGAGTAATTGCCATGGTAGCAAGCTTTGTGACTGAAGGTCATCTGTAAAAAATTCAGAGAAAAAAAGAACTGAACTCATCCAGAGTCTGTCTTTATATACAGTGCCTTCAGAAAGTATTCAAACCGCTTAACGGTTTTGTTATGTTGCAGCCTGATACTACAATCGTTCAAATTCATTTTTTTCCTCATTAAACTACACTCAGTACCCCATAATGACAAAGTGAAAACAGAATTTTAGAAATGTTTGCAAATGTATGAAAAAGGAAAAACTGACTACACTCAGTACCCCATAATGACAAAGTGAAAACAGAATTTTAGAAATGTTTGCAAATGTATGAAAAAGGAAAAACTGACTACACTCAGTACCCCATAATGACAAAGTGAAAACAGAATTTTAGAAATGTTTGCAAATGTATGAAAAAGGAAAAACTGAAATATCGCATTAGCATAAGTATTCAGACCCTTTGCAACAACACTCATATAAAGTAAGAAAAAGAAAAGAAAAAGGAAGAAAGAAATCAAAGAGAAAGCTAAAAATACAAGAAAGGAAAAAAAGTAAAAAATAGAAAAGAAAGAAAAAGGATACAAAGAAGTGGCATCCGATCTTCTTTGCAGCAGTTATAAGTACAATTACAGTGGTACCTCGGGATACGAATGCCTCTACTAACGAACTTTTCGGGTTACGACCAG